TACAGCGAGGGGGAGGAGTGGAGAGGGGGGCGGCAAAAACGCGGGTGCGCGGGGGGGGGGGAGGGGGGCGTGGGGGGGGGGGGGGGGGGGGGGGGGGACTCCCTTATTTGGCCTATACTGGTATGTGCCGCTTGTCAAGGTCTTGAGTCTTAAGCAGAGTATACAATTTCACCATTAAGCGTCTTGAACAGGGTGTCTTTAGAGTGCGTGTCTCCTGTCTTAAACAGGGTATCGGGGTTTGAAAGCCTCGGCGGCACAGCTCTACCCAGACTTCCTTTGAGTGCCCCTCGAAAAGTAGGGAAGTTAGGTGGGAACTCAAGAGAGGGGACCGCGTCCGAGTTCAGAGAGAGAAAATAACATTTATCACCTTGCCGTTTTGGTTCTCAAGTTCTAGCCTGCGTGGCAGGTGCAAAAAGGGGAGGGGGAGGGGGAGGGGAGTAAAGCGCTAAAGGGAAAAGGGAGTCCCTTACCAACCCTCTCTCCCCAACCCCCCCTTTTTCCTTTTCTCCCAATCCCCCAACCGAGATATTGAAATTCAACATGATGGCGAGTCTTAGAGGACACAAACAAAGGAAATGGGGTTAGTGTAAATTGCAGATTTTGGTCTTACTTACTTGAAAAGCTGAAATTTTTAACTGTACAGGTATATATCGCTTAGGCATGCTTAGGACTCAATTTCAACATCTTTTGATTTGCGCATTTGAAAATCACCGTAGCACTTGGTTGGTAAACGGTTGCCCTTCATAGTATAGTCTCTATTTTAAAAGAATTCAAAGATTATATATCCCCTTGCCTAACACGAAAACCTCAATCTCTCTTGACGGAAATCAACCCCCCCCCCGGGAAGGAGAACGAGTGGGGGGTGTCAGGAACACGGCCTTCAAGGTTTTTGCTTTTCAGTTGCCTTTGTATATCTTTTGTTGCAATTTTGAATTACGTATTTCTTAAATTTTCTAATTGTCTAGAGGCATGTTGGAGTAAATCAATACAACTTACACAATGACGTCATTATCTCTTATTTATTGAAAACTTTACTGAAAGTCAAGTCATATCTCCTAGGCTTTTAACAGAACGTAATAAAATACTCTAACAAAACATATTTTACTAAGAACTTTACACATCAGAAACCTCGAGTATTAAATAAAAATATATGACATCCATGAGTGTAACTTTATTACAAATGATGAAAATTTGCCATGGATATAAATCAAGTTAAAAAGAACCCAAAAGCTTTTTTTTTTAAATTTGGCACTAATCATTACATAAGAATCTCGACCGTAAGATTTCATGGATAGAAATCTTCATTTAACCTAAACTTTCAGTTAACAACTCAACATGTTTTTCATTTTGTTTCCCATTCCACCAAAATTTCAGAAAGCGAATAGAACGAGAAATTTGCAGGAAATTCTCCCCAAAATCCGAAGACGTGAAACTTTGAAAGCGAACACTCAATATTCACTAACAAAATGAAATGGAAAATGTCGGGAAAATTGCGAAAATTTAGTTTATACCTAGTGACGTTGTCCACGTTAAGAAACATTCCAAAACCGAGCACAATTCACTTTTGATTGGCCAAAAAAGTGCAATAATGCAAGAGAATAGCTAGCTAGCACATTTCCGTGTGGCTTTAATCCTCTTTATCGAAGCTGGAACTGTTCAGTTGCACAACAATTAAAGGGGTTTCATTTGCCTGTGAATAAAAAATTACCTATATATGAGAGAATTTCGAAAAGAGGCTAATTGTCATTCGGGGAAATGCCCTCTCTTATTTACAAAACAATCTAATATTCACTGTTACGTTAATTTGACTCTTGTAATATCTTTGTCTGTGAAGATAAAAATTTGTTACATAAATGTAGTGGTATAAAATATAAATCTGTTTTCAATTGTACGATAAAAACTTTTAATATACATAAAGTTATAGTTTCTATACAATATCATTATATATTTTAAGTAACCTTCATGATACGATAAGTAAAAATCTAAACGCTTTAGAGGCGTTTCTAATCAGGGCTCTCAACAATTACATTTGGGACTTCACATTCTAAAACGAGTAGGACTACGAGAACAAGATTTTCTCAATAGTAAGTACCGTGCGTGAACCAGTGTCCTTATGGCGGGAAAACAAGATAGCCGTCCGGGGGCCTGGTTCTCAAAAGTCCCGGTAACTTTACGGGCCCGGAAAGCTGTTTTGTGTTTGTGTTTGTGTTTGCATTCAAGATCAAAGTTTTAATAAGTTTGAAAATAATACAATGAAACTGTACGTTAACGAAGCACAATTGACTAGTTTGAGGGCTAGGAACTGTGCTTCTATTCAACAGGTTTTGATTTTAAAATTTGTCTTCGAGCCTGAAAAGTTTCCGGGTCTGTCGAGAAACGGGCCCCGGGTCGTCATTCTACTACGGGTTTGAACGAAAACGTCGTAGTAGCGGAAACAAGCAGGAGCCGATTACTTAAGTAATCGGCTCCTGAAACAAGTTATCAAATCATTCAAATCATGCCGAGTTGTCATTTTGCGATCGTGAGAGGGCTGAACCTCCTTCAATAAAAATAACCGTATTAACTTTTCTGTTAAAAAAAAAGTAAAATAAAGTTTTTTGAGAATACACGAAAAAAACTTTTACGTCAAATCTCTTCTTCGCAGTCGTCCTCGTATTCGAATCTAAAGGTCTCTGTGGTCCATCGTCATCTGTCAGGATCATCAAGCTTGAAAATTCTTACCACGGATCTATCTATAGGCAAATAACTAATAGGGAAAAATAATTAGTATGTTCCTTCTGCATATGGGATGCATAACAATCGATTGCATGTAAGCGTGTTGATGCCGTGACGAAAAAACATGTTCTAATTGGGTGCAAACATGACATGTTTAGGACCGTTTTGCTTCCAACCATTCGAAGTTTGGCGTCGGGTTATACGAATGTTCAGGAGCAAATGAGGTGACTGGATGTACTATATTGAATCGCAGGATATTGCAATTTAGAAATAACTCAAATGGTTTACACCTTTCTACTTTTCAAGCTATGGAAAGTATATTTGTCGTTTGAGTGCCGAATTTTAAAAAGACTCTGGACGTGGGTCAAGAAGAATGTTAATGAGAAAAATTTTTAACCGAACTTATTGTGTAAGTAGCAAGTCAAAGTGTCCCGTGTCTCAATAACGAAGACTTACCTCATGTCTTGAGGAGTCAGAAAAATGAATTGTCGATGTTTCTCCTCTGGTAACGCCGCTAGCTCCAACACCATCTTCATTATAACCTTTCTATTATAAAGATCCTGCAAATCACCAAAGCTGAGGTTAGAGTGCTGCATGTATTGACGACAGTGAATGCTTTGTTTGGAGTGGGTTTCCTGTGCTAAGTTCTTAAAATGGAAATAAAAGTCCCCGGATGTTACCCGTGTTCAAAGGAAAGCATGGCGGGTTGGCTCTTGTTTATCTCTGTTGAATCAGAATTTTTTTCCTCCATCATGGGTACCCAGCGTAATCCAAAATGCGTCAGGTGAATATTGACTAGACAAGAGCCTATACTTCGTTTGATAGTGTATGAAATATGTTCTGTGTTAGTTTTTACCCTGGGCATCTTGAAACCGGTTAAGTTGTATTTTTTCACATACCATAAAAACATCAAACTCGTCAAGGCATCTGAATGGAGACTCCATAGTACCCCAAAGGGCAGTCAGAAAACATATGGTCGAGACAGATCTTTCCCCGCCTGACAAAGACTTCATCACTCTTGTGCTCTCGTCCACGCCTCCATGAACGTGTCTTGGACCTTTGTGCACATTAACCTGGCAAAGAAAAATAAAAGAATTATAACAACCTGTCAGCTTTCCGTTTCTTCAAAAGAGCCGTCGACGGCGACCTCAGCTAGAACGTCAAAAAGGCAATATGTTTAACACGCAACACAGTAACTCTGCGCGTACAGCACACTTTCTGTAAATTTCCTAGCCGTCACTGAACGACTACGACGTGAAAATGCCTAGTTTGGAGGACGTAAACGAGCCAAAGCGAAATTTTCTTTCTTTTCCTGAACTTGGATACGGTTCTTGGGAATTTAACTCAAAGGAGAGTTCGCCTACATTTGACAAAATAAGTGAGTTGGAATAATCGCAATGAAGATTCACTTTTTAAGCAACGTTTTCGCTACCGTCGCCGTCCTCGGATCTTAAGGTCCCTTTTGTCTCAAATAGTACCTGGAAATGAACTTTAGCTGTTGCGTTTCCCTGATTTTTGTTCTGACTTTTA